GAAGGAAGGAAGGAAGGAAGGAAGGAAGGAAGGAAGGAAGGAAGGAAGGAAGGAAGGAAAAAGAAACAGATATGTCCGAACTCTTTAGAACACGTTGCCCTAGCAGACAGATCTCAGAGTGCCAATCTCTACTCCCAGAAAATAGCAGAAGGCCACTTTGTTTCATAATGTCAATGAGAACTTCACTTGAGTATGAGTTTATAGAAGTCATACTGCATAGATTTATATAAAGTACACTGTAAGGAACAAGTAGGAAACTTGCAGCTTTCTGGATGTTGTGTTGCAGTTTGATTTGTCAACTGCCTTACAATGCCCCTGAATTCTGAATTTTGAAGACTACAGCTTGTACAGAAAGGAGATAGAGCACATTCTGTAACCAAGTTAGATTTAAATTTGTCACAGTCGAAATAGTATAAAATTCTATGCTACGTCGTTTTGGACTATTGGCTGAAGAACAATCATAAAGGTATTATAACAAGTACCTGGTGAGGATGGCCTCGTTTCAGTACTCTCAGTCTATATCTGGTGATTCGTCTTGGGCTTGAGTTACAGCTGTATTCCCAATCCCACTCACAAGGAGATGGCGGTATTGTCGGTGGTTCCCTAAATTAAATTACATTACATTACATTAAACTGTGACAAGGTTAGTACAATCCAACTAATATAAAAAATGTCTTTGCAATAATTTATGAATTGTTAACTGTCACATGCAAGACAATGAACAGTTATACATAGCAAATTGCATGAAAAACATAAATACATTTGACAGAATCTAAACAAGGCTTCTTGTTATCACTGGAGATTCATACCAAGAAATCTGTTGTTGTTGTTTTTTACAGAAGTCTGGTACAGAGTAAAAATGCAAAATGGACCTTTAGAAACACAGTGTTTGGCCTCTCAGCACAATGTCTTCATAGTAACGGACTGAAGAGGGGGGGGGGATGCTTTCTTTTTCTTTAGAAGGTTCCAGCCAGCAGTGGCAACAGTCAACCTAATTTTAGAAATGAACATATGGTGGAGGAAAAAAAAATAAACATAGGAAGAATTTTCTAGTCACCAACACGGAAGAAAGTAGGCTGAAATTCATGTGCATTTTTGTGTAAATCTGCCTTAGAGACCACTTGTGCATCACCAGAAAGAAGATACATACATATTTTCATTAATATGACACATACTAATGTACAGGTGCAAGTTTAGAAATACTGTAATTGCTATAGCTTTGATTGAAATACAATGCATCTAACTATAATGGGGTGGACTGATCAGTGTGCTTGCACTAAAATATTTTGTTGCCTGAGGAAGGGGAGAAAATGGTGCTCTCACCCATCAGGTGAGATGTCAGGGTGCAGTTGTACTCAACACCAGGTAGCTATTTTGACATGTGCATCTGAAAATCCCACAAGCAACTCCCCCAATTAATGGTAGTAAAAATACAACAGCAACAAATTAGAAATGTGCTCACTGTTCACAATAGTAAAATAGCAGGTGATTCTCCCAGTCAGCTGGCATTAAATTATAACCCTTAATTAAATTCTAAGGCTGATAGCTCAGCATATGTTCTCTCTGGAGCTTTAGAGGATTCTCTCCCCACCTGTCCATCCACTTATTACACATGGTACCATTGAGAGGATAACTGTACACTCAATTTCTCAATCGTTTTATTTACTTTTCAGAATTAATCTCTTTTTACATTCACATTGCAAAACTAGCTTTCAAGGGAAATGACTCACCATGTGAATGCATTTTCACACCAAAACATGCTGAAAGAATGTTTGGGACAACTACCATTCTGTATACAGTGGTGCCTCGACTTACGAACTTAATTGGTTCTGGAACTCTGACCGTTAACTCGAAATGGTCATAAGTCGAAGCACCATTTCCCATAGGAATGTATTGAAATGCAATTAATCCATTCCAGCCGAAGGAAAAATCACCAAAACCAAAAGAAAACCATACTGCAACACCCATTGGAAACACGATTAATCCGTTCCAGCCAAAGGGGGGGCGGAAGCAAACAAACCATGCAAGACCCTTCGGAAATGCAAAAAAAGCAAAGCAAAAAGCAAACAAACCATGCAAGACCCATCGGAAACGTGATTAATCCATTCTGGTGGAAGGAAAAGAAAAAAAAGCAAACGAACAGTGCAAGACCCATCGGAAATGCAAAAGCAGTGTTTTCTCTCAGTAGTAGAATCTATAATTGTAATTGCTAAAAAAAAACAGGTAGAAAACCAACAGGTAAAATTTGTCCTGACTGGCTGTTAATATAGAAAAGTTGCATTTCTTCTGTTTTTATTTGAGCCTCATGAAATTTCTCATGTAGTTGCACAAGGAGCATTAGGAGAAAAGGGGGAGCAGTAATGTGAGGGTTCGATGTGATGATCTCGGGATTCCTCCTTTTCCCCAATAACCAGACACCATTTGCATTAGTAACAATGGAACATTTATTTTGGAATGACAAATAAACCACTGTCTTGAACTGACACGTAGTCCCTTTCTCTTTCCTCCAACGTAGTGGGAATGGACTTCCAATCTTTAGAAGATTGAAAAAAATGGAATTCGATGGTGCTGGCGGCTCTGCTAGTGACCATTCCTTCATTGACAATCCCGTCTGTACAGGCAACAGGGGCACAGACGCGTCTTGAAGGAAATCCTCCCACTTGGGATATCCCCCAAGTTCCAGCGTCTCCCAGGACTTCTCCAGTCTACCATCTTCACCATCTCCCACGCTCGCCATTCATTCCTCTCTCTTCTCTCTTGTTCTACTCTTTCTCTTTCTTCCTTTAACTTCTTCTTCCACTCCCTAGCTTCTGCTTCTTCCCAGTAAGATGCTCCGGGAGGAATCACCGCCCTTCTCCTGTGGTCTACCTCCTCCCTAGGCACCTTCAGTCTCTCCCACTTCAAGATACAAGGATCTTGCACCCAGATCCATTCCCAACCTGGAGATAATGTGTCTCCTCTCTCTACTTCCTTTTCCCACCTCTTTTAATTGCTCTTCCTTTACTCCCATCCCCCTCAAGCCCTGGGGTAATTCCTCCTCTTCTGCCCCCTGGAGGGACTCCTGTGGGGCTTTCCCTGGAGTCATCTGGAGTCCATATTCCCCTCCTTTCTCTGTCTTCTTGGTGAGAATGGACGGTAATCCAGAGAGCGGTGACCCCAACTTGCCTCCTGGCTCAGAAGTAAGTGGAACATTGCTAAGTGAAAAACCAGAAATGAAAAGCAGGCAAATCTTCAGGTTTCAGTCCCACCCCCGCAATCTAATGGCACTTTAAATACTCTTTTTAAATGTCTGAAAAGGCTACTAAAATCTTCTTTCAAATAAAGTGAGACCAGGAACCTGAACCACACATTATAGTATACTTTCAGTGCACTACAAAAGTAAAAAAATATTCTGTCCTGCCTTTTCTTTGTTAGTGTAAAACCTTTGAGGTGTTGTTAACAGATAAACATTCCTTGAAGATTTTTATTTATCCATGCTGTCACCTCTCCTAAAGAAAAAAAAAACATTGAGGAAAGGTAGGTTTTGATCAGTATGCCCATGTTTGTCCTTCTGCTAAAAATACCTAATCAAATGGTCATAAGTCGAAGCACCATTTCCCATAGGAACGCATTGAAATGCAATTAAAACAGTTCTATCTACCTATTACACATTACTGAAGAGCTGTTCTATATGCAATACTTTCAGTGCACTACAAAAGTAAAAAAAATACTGTACTGAAGAGCTGTTCTATATGCAGGACTGAATATTGAGGGAGATGCAAGGAAGATTGTTACGGCATCCTCACTCGGAGAGAGTTTGTCCATTTGACAGCACTAGCCTGGATACTTTTCACATATGCTGTGTTTTTGCCCTTTTCATGCAACTGTGAGAGAACATTTTATTAAATATTTATTTTATGAAAAATGTAACCTTGTACCCTTAGTAGTAGAAGATAAAATTCCTTATTTCTCTGTGGCAGTTGCTAAATTTGTTGCTGCTATTCTCCTCAAGATAACTGAACTTCATGTTATCTAAATATTTTGTTTTTTCTGCTTCTAAGGGGGAAAGGAAAGGATAAAGCAGCTACCCGGGCAGCTGACTCTTACTTCAACACTTGCAACAATGGGACAATGACAATTGACTCATTTGGAAAGTACAGGGCGTGTTAATGATATGATCAGCTGTGGTGGGATTTATGTCCAAGGTAACAAGCTCCGGATCTCACCACAGCTATACAAACACCCACAGCACTTCCATCAGAACAAAATGAACAAAGTAGTCAATACGGTGCAGTTGGGTAGTGTGCATGGAAGACCAATCCTCAAAAAACCATGAAACTCCTTGTGTTGCCAAAGGTAAATCACTCTCTCACAACGTGACCTACCGAATGTCCTAATATTGAGAACTGTGCATGCTGCCTGACTTTCCTGCTGGAAGAGTAGGAAAAATGTAATTAATTTTTATTATTATTGTTTGCCATGCCTACCCCTGAAACAAGGCAGTGGGGATAACTCATGATTAGCAAAGGATGAATAACCATTCTAAGATTATGTAAAACAAATTGTTCTGCAAATTTTATTCAATTTGCAAAATGCAGAGGCAGCTTCACTTTGTATTTAGGCTGCATGGATATGAGATTTTTCTTTCGGTATGGAACATGTACATATACACCTTCATTATTTTCCTTTCAAAAAAGAACACACATGTTTAATACAGTAGAGTTAGTGATGGTTTTGGTTGTGGGAGATGCAGATTCAGATCCCCAACCATACTACTCATTCTCAGTCCGTTACTACAACTGTTCTGAGGTAAACAAGATTACTGCAGTGAATCTTACATCCTAGTGTCACAGAAGTGAAAAAGCACCACATACAATGATGAGTCTCAGAACCACAGTCATTGTCATTCACCTCTCCTCACAAGAGCTGGAAGCATTCTTACCATTAATTCCTCCAGTGATATTTCTCACAAAGCTTACTTAAATCCTGGGTGTGGAGCTAAAAAACAAACACAGAGAGAATCGAACACACACACAGTTTGTCTCCGGCACTACCAGTAGTTTTCATTGTACAAAATCACCTCTCACCATTTGCTAGAGGCTGATGATGAGTGTTGCAATCCTACATTATCTGGAGGGCCACCATTTCCTCACAAACTCTCTAAGTACACATTCGAGCATTAGCTAAATGTTTGTACAGTGGAAACTACAGTTTGTGCCATGGACAAAGAACACCTACAGCCATTGTGTGTGTGCGTTTAACTTTCATTCATCACCCCTGGTTTACAATATTTCGTTTTATGATTGAAGGAAGCAGCTGGAGTCTAGTTCTGTTGAGACTATGTTTTGTATATTTCAACACTGATTTTGATAGCCTAAAACAGGTTCCCAAGCTTGGGTCCCAAGATGTTCTTGGACTAAAGCTCCCAGGAGCCTTCATCAATAGTGGTGCTGGCCAGGATTTCTGGGAGTTGTAGTCCAAGAATATCTGGGGACCCATGCTTGGGAACCACTGGCTTAAAACTTCCAAAAAGGCTAAGAGAAGAATATAACTAAAGCAAAAGGTCTAAAATCTCCTTCACTTTTTGGTAGACAGACCAAAAAGTGTACAGCTGGTTTGATGGT